TGACAACAGCAACAATTTTTCCCTCATTAATATGAGGTAGCGTGTAGCGGGTAAAAATTAAAAATGAATTTTCAGAATAATATTTCATATGTTATAGTTATTGAATAAACTTTAGGTAAATCCTTCAAAGTGTATTACTTTTTATTTCAATGGTTTTTGTAACATATGGTTGTCAGTGGATTTAAATGAGTCTTGAAGTTCTTCGTTAGTCTAGACACGCTACCCTCCTAGTCACTTGTTCAGTTTAGGGAAAATACGAAAAATGGACTGCAGTGGAGTTGTCTGAAGTTTTGATATGTTGCAGCCAAAATCATCCCGAGCAAAAGGCTTAATGACGACTACCGCTAGAGCTTCATGCCACTAAAAGGCACCACTAGAAGGCAAATTAACCTTACAGTTTCAAGAGCCAGTAGATGGAGAAAGTAGTGGAATCGTTTGATCTGTCAAATGCCGACTTGGCGGTCATATTTACTCCAATTATATAGAAAAGGCTTTGGCATTTAATAGTGGTTCGATTTCCGGCGAAGGTATGACAGAAGCAACAAATTTTCCCTAATTAACCTGAAGTAGTTTATAGTGGGTAAAAGATCGAGAATAAATTTTCGCAATAATATTTACTCCAATTGCCAAAATAACAGATGGCCCAAGTGGAGTAAGCATGGCGTCGGCTCGAACCATTGCGCTACTCTATATAGTGGCTCTGAGGGCTTCAGCACGGGTTAAGGACGTTCCCAAAAAAAAATTTTTCTTACGATCATTTTTAAAATTTAATTGTATTCTGAACGCATAGGAAAAATTGAAAATATTAGCATTTTAAATTTCCATTTGAACGCATGTTCATTTATACATTCATGTAGGTTTCAGTGCCTAACAGTTTTAATTTTCTTACAATTTTTTTTAAATTTCGAGAATTAGCAGTTAATATTGACATAAATAATTTTCATACAAAATCGGTACAAGAAGCGGCATTTATTTTGTTGTAAACAATGTGTAAAGTAAATCTCAGACTCAAACTCTCCTGCATAAACTGATCAGTAGAGTGCGACTTGGCTTCGCTGCAATAGCGCGGGACGTTTAAGTTGGTTATCCTAAACTGTAGGACCTGCGTGTTTTCATTTATTGTTGTCTGATTTCTTTTAACAATATCAACATTACTATTAATATTCACTCGATTATTATTAATATTACAATTACTAAAAATATTGATCATATTTCAGTTCATTATTATTTTGAATAAAAATGTTTAGTTGAAAAAACATGAGTTCTACTTTTTAATAAATTCATAGGCTTAAAAAATATAATAAAAAATAAAATACACTGTTTATATTAGAAAGAAATTAAATATTCATTGACTGATAATAATAAAAATGAACAGTTATATAAAATGATAAAGAATGTATTTATAATATATAAGTATAACTTTATGTTACCGAAACTAATAAATAAATTATTTGGCTTTTTTGTTTCTTAAAAATTGTATCACTTTAGTAATGATATCTTTTCACCTTCATCAGTTCGAGACGATACAAATATGAGACGTTGTCAAGTCGAATAAAGCGACGCAGTAAGTCAACTTTTTCGCTTATGTGCATGGGAGGCGGGGCAAAAGAGCGTAGTGCTGGTCAACTAATTCTTACAGTTCAAGTGGGTAACTTATATAGGGAAATCGTATTCGTAGGTTGAGAACCACTGGTCTTTGGGAACGTCCTTAGGTACGGGTGAATATAACAGGAAGATTAATGTGACCAGCTAGGTGTTGTTATTGTCTAGGTATTTAAAGATATTGTAAATGAACGGTCAATCGGTCCTTTCCAGGGTCATGTGATGTGTAAAGTCCAATCGAGCTACATCCAAGCGGCGTACCTCCTAAAATTTCATTAAGCTAAATAATCCCCATATCTACCCCTTAATAGATAATGAATGAAGAATCAGCGCTAATCAAGGAAAAACGGTTTTTATTATTTTAAAACTGAGCAAGACAGAGCAAGAAGCAGGAGAAAAATCTTGCTTTGTGTACCATTAAGCCAGCTTATAGTTTAGTTCAATATCATCATCATCATGAGGTCGTCAGCCCTAACAGTGATTGGACACCACTCTTTCCTATCCTGAGCTAATCTTCGCATTTCCCTAAAGCTAGAGCAACCCATATCCTTAACTATTTGCGAACAGTAATCTAATTTAGCTATTCCTCAACTCTTCCTAACTCCCGTTTCTGCCTCTAATATACCACCGAATAGACCTTCATGCCTGAGAAGGTGCCCTACCAACCTATCTCGCCTATTTCTTATTGACTTGCATAGAATCCTCTGTTCACCTATTCTTTCTAATACCTCTTCATTTCTAACCTTCTTTATCTACGGTATCATCATTCATCTGTAATACAAAATTTCGAACGCTTCTAAACTTTTCTATTCTGCTGCGCCCACCGCCCAAGTTTTTCAACCCTATAGCGCCGCGCTCCAAACATACAACAATCTTTTTCTTCTGCTTTATATCCTCACTACTCCTTTCGTCCTGACTTATCTAACTTTAGTTCAATATGGAGTGTAAAAATAGTAAAATAATTATAGATATGAAGATTGGAAAAACTTTGGCGGTTGTTGTAGGACAAACAAAATATATCAAACTCCAACGCCAAAACACGACACTTTCGGTTCACTTCGGTCCCTGAAGAAGGTAATCTTGCTACCGAAAAGTGCTTCGGTCAACTAAAGTGTCGTGTTTTGACGTTGGGGTTTGAGCTATTTTGTTTGTCCTAAAATAATTATAATCATATCAAACGCAATCCGGAAAGTTTTGCTACTAATTGTGAGTTCTTTAGTGTTTGACATGGGCCTTTCACGTCTAATAGTCTAATACTTGAACTGATGAGAACCAACTAGTTCAAACATCATAATCCATTAGACACTCTCAATTTTTTTTTCATTAATTTCAGTTTATATGTACTTAATTCAAGAAATTAATTCTCTAAAGCGTCGTAATCCATGTCTGATAGCTTCGACAGAATACCTGACCAAGAGCTTACTGTTCTATAATTATAAAACTAATCCTTCAGGGTAACGTTTATAATTACTTTTTCCCCGCAAAGCAAACTTTTCAAACAAAAAAAATAATAACAGCAATAATCCATTATATTTACTTATTTTATAACCCGAGTCTTTATAACGTACCCTGAGGCTTAACTGCGTCTTATCGCTGCTTCCAAACCCAACAACGTTTCTCAATTAGAGCATCGCAAAGCTTTATAAGAAGTTGTTTTAAGCGTGACGTATTCACCTTTATTACTTAACCGTTGTGTCGCGTTTCGCGGCACTATTCGACGAATTGCCTTCTAATAAACTTAGTTAATTGAAATTGGAATAGAATTGCTGAATAGGTGCTGAAGCTAATAGTTGAGTCAAGGAAGGTTTTAACTTCTTAATTCTCAGCAACAGCTCCGATTTTAATCATTTTTTTGAAGTGAAACTTCTTTACTCACGGTAGGGTAAGTTCGTTTTATGCGAGTTGCTGTGTAACGAAATCATGCAACGGATGTCACCCGTCTACTCTGGCATGTATAGTGTAAAATTGAAATTCATAGTGTACAAATAATACCATTAAACCAATTCCTCAACCCCTATCCCGGTATGTTTGTGTGTTTGAAGAAGTTTCACAACAGTAGCGTGTTGTATAATTACATGTTGTATTTTTTTAAAGGCGTGGTTTTTAATTGTCAAAATCAGGAACATCTGAATTTCAGGAAATGATTTTGTATATTATTTAAACACTAAAAACTGAATTTACAAGAAAAACTTGTTGTTTTGTATAATTTTATCTTAAGCATGTAAATGTTGGTCTATATTTTGCAAATATAAACTTTGTTTTAACGTATCGCGTCACATTTTTTTTGTATGTTGATTAATATATTTATATATATATAGCTCTTTGAGTCGGAAAATTTATTTGTTTTTTCACAAAATTCATTTTATAGCTCATATTTCTATTTAATACTCTCTGACTGAGCATTACATTGTCTTTTACTTTATTTTAGATAGTCTGAAAGTAACTATAGTCGTTTACACCGCCTGAAAAAAAAATAGTTTATAGCGCGCCATTATTGAGAGAGAATATTAACGTGTAATAAAAGATCGTGTTTCATTTATCTTTAACTATGGCTTCTCGGAGTTGCTAAAACAATTCAAATGTATTTTTTTACATTTGCAGGCAATATACAATAGTTAAGCATAGATTGAATACAACAGACTTTGTAAAAAATGCTTATTAAGCTTACTTCAAAACAAAGTTGTGTTACTAAGATAAACAGTGGGTTACGATAAAATATGCCGATTATGTGTTGAAATGTTAAGACAGTGAACTTATGGTAAATCTAAATTATTGTTATTCGGTATTTCTATGTCCAAATTAGAATGCAATTGGAAGTCGGAGTGAAAAATGTCATCAATACGAGTATGAAAGGTCCCGAAAAAGTAGTCCTTCCACCACTTTATATTAAACATGGTTTGATCAAACATTTTGTAAAGGCATTTCGACTTGAGCAACGGTGATTATTTCATGTTTCGATATCGAGGTCATGTTCTATATAGGTTTTAAGCATATAGAAAAATCGTAAGGACACAAAAAATTACTTTTTAAGAAAAAAGTCCAATTTAAAAATCACGTTTTTTTTTTGTTTATTTTCGATTTTTCCATGCTTTAATATTGTCGGAGGTATTTTTAACCAACACCATCGAAAAGAGCATCGTTAAAAACATAGAAACACTGGTTATCGAATATTTTTTCGTCGCACTCATTACGTGGCAAGGGTTCAAATGGAAATGTGTTCTCTGAGCGTTTATGGGTTAATGTAACTATTTTCAATAATAAAATGCCTGGAATTTCGCAAGTATTTTTTAAATATTATCATTTTTATATGGTGTCAACCCACTTAGTTTATGAATAGTGGCAATAAAAGAAAAACAAACTTTTATTTTTTTAATTTTTACTGACATATCGTTTTAAAAATATTTCTTTTAAATATTATTTACAAAATTACGACAGCAACAGTATGACAGAGGTAGTATATGTGAATTAAAAAGAAAGAGCACTCATTACGCAGTCTGTTCAAATTGTTTATGTAAAATAGGTACATATTCGTCCCATTCCGCTTGATAGAAGTTTCCAGCAACAGGATCGCCCAAGTTATACTGCTTAGCAAAATTACGAATTGAAAATTTTATCCTTCCTTCGCGTGACGTCCTGCTGACCCTTTTTTCCATGAAGTCTATCTTACTTGGCTGCTTATAGAGCAGAAATATGTAGCGATGTAAGCCTTCTTTAGGTCCTGAACCGAAATATTCAGCCAATACGTCACCTTTAGAGAGATCGTTACCTGGAATATTTCCGACAAGCCAATGTTTGATTTCCCCAAAAATTGGTTCTTTCGGAGTTGGTGAGTCGGGGTCACTCATACACAGCAAATAATAATCGTCACAACTTGCTTGCCATGTCACAGTTGGCTGATCTTTTACCTGCGTTGGTGTTAGGACATTCCCTTCAGCGACACTGATGTTGTTCGGATATGAAACATCGAGGACTTTCGGCGGCGCCTTGTCAATGACGTCAGGTACAATACCGTGCTTTTCGAATGCCTTGAAAAAATAGGACAATAAATGAATTTATAGTGAATCCATAGATTGAAATGATTCAAGGAAACGGAAAATGTGTCATATCGCAAGTAATTTTCTTTTTGGGTCATTTGAAAACATTTAGTCTTTTTATAAGGGCTGTAACCATTTCGCAAAATTATCGTCTTTTTTATGGATTGAACCGATTTTGGAAAAATGTCAAAATGAGAATTTCAGATTGTCTCTAAATAAAAGAATAAAAGAAATTCGAAGTGGTCTGTATTCTGTCGAAACTGCCAGACACGGATTGCGATCCGATCTTGTTGGACCTCATCAGCGCATCGCAGACAGCTTCGACAGAACACAGACCAATTTTACCTGCTGTCTTAACAGCGTGTTTTATAAAATCCCACAAATGGCGCGGTAAACGCCATCTGTAGTACAATGCTACATTTTAGGAAGACGTGTCTGGCAGTTTCGACAGAATACAGTCCACTTCGAATTTTTTTTTTGTTCGATTATGGTAACGTGCCTATCACGTAGTGGTGAGCTACGCTGGGATCCGTTTCAGCAAATACATATCCATTTATTTAAATGGAACTTGTTGAAAATACATGTTCCTAAAATGTAGCATTGTACTACAGATGACGTTTACCGCGCAATTTGTGGGATTTTATATTCTCTAAATACTACAAATATTCGGAATACTTAATCTGTACCGATCTTCATATCTCCTAAAAATATTAATTTAAAAGTTAATTTCTATATAAATATCAAATACTAAAATCATGCAAAAAGCTTTCACTACCTTCCGTTATCAGCTCGTTTTGTATAATCCTTTTGCAAATAAATATACAGGTAAATATTGCAATTACCTACACAATTCCTTGATGCTATTTTTTACGACGTACGAACTAAAATGCATAATTTCGTGAACATGCGAAATATTTTTTTAACCACATCTGTCTGATACATTATATCACCTGCTTCTTTAAAAAGTATCCTAAATTAGCCCAACTGTCAAATTCTTATATAGGGCTTTTCTGGAATAAGTGCCAAGCTTGCAGGAGGTGATAAAGCACCATAAAACAAGAAAATTAAGTAAACGTTTGGTGGTTCGAAAATTCACCGTTTTCAAGAAAAACGTGTTTGAAATAACAGACAAAAGCCAGGCCGGTCCTGGTAGGACCGCAGAGAAATGCGACAATTCAGCGCCGCATTCAATTAGCTGGTAATAGAATGGTAGAAGCATTCGTATTGTATTTCTGTTGTATTTTTGTTTTCTATTTGTTAGCTTAGATTAAGTGTGATTGACGATGTTTTATGTTTTAATTACATTTTTATTCTTTTAACATTGTAGGTTGTATGTATATACTCAGTCAAAGCTGTTTGAGTAGGTCAGTATATCATTGTCGTAGGTCAGTGTAGAACAACGGCTGTTAGGTGCTTAGTGTGACAGAACTTTGTGACATGATACTAATTTACGACGAATGTGAACAAGATGTCAATACAATAACTGAATTGTACTCTGATCCTTATCTCGAGCGAAGACTTCTCCAAAGGCAAACCGTTTAAATGAGATATAGAGATGACAATGTATCAAACACCAATGCAGAACGCTAATGATTTTCACGATCGTGTGCTGAACGCAGCAAATAAAATACACCAAATGCCGAATGTTTTTGCGCGACTAATTCTGATAGACGTTTGATAGCTTAACTTCTAGCACGGTGTTCAAATTTCGAATAAGTTGTATAATGTACATAGTTATGTGTGAGTTTACAGGTATAGAAAAGATAACGTGACGATGGTGTGGGAAGTTGCCATATTGATATTCATTTGCCTACTAATGTGTACGTACGTAACCTAATTTTTCCCTTATGTGCTCACATTGAGATGTAATTTAAATAATGATGCATACTATTAGAGATGAACAAATATTTTTATGGTAATGTTTGTTGATGTTTACTGTAACCGACCGATAATCGGTACTATCTACACCATCCATATAACTTCTGAGTTATTATCTCAATTCATTGGTACAGTTCACGTCCAGGATCGACTTCGGATTGTAACTTGTGGTTTACATAAAAAAAATTGCCATCTAATCACGTTGCTGTAGTCACCATACGATTCCATATTGCAAGTAGTTGATACCTTTCAAAGCTTGTCACTTATTTCAGAAACACCCTTTATTACTGATGCTGCCCTGGTCTGATAACTTCAACTGGGACAGCATCAGTTCATCTACTAGCCGCGAAATTCTTTACAATTTGTCACCCTGTATTACTTTATTATCTGTCCAAAAATATGGTTTAAGAAATTTTATCAAATTTTCCTATAGTACGTCATATTTTTCGAAAGGAAAAAGAAAAATTTTTGTCTGCGTTAATTTAATATTTACTTTTGAAAACTTACCATGACTGTTAAAATATACGGATTTCATAAATTTATACTATTATCACTAGCAATTTAGTTACTGATTGTGAACAGAATATTTATTTGTTCGCTTCTTGTTTTCTTTTTGTAGTGATAGATAAAAAGCAGTATAAACATGCCATATCAGAACGATAAGAGATAATCAGCTGTCTGTTGAGGTATTTATCATATTTACAAGCAGAAAACGAATACCACTGATGTAAACATTATTCCAACTTATTAGTAGTGACGTGACAAACCGATTTTATTTTTTACAAGATTGTCGTACATATCTTTTGTTATATCGAACGTAATTATTATGCATACTAGGTGTATAATATCTAAGGATAATAAAAAAATGTATGTATATAGTTAGTCGAAGTTATTTCAGTAGGTCAACATATCACTGTCGTAGATCAGTGTAGAACAATAGTTATAAATAGATGATATTCCTTATAAAACGGCATCCTAAGATTTCCCTCGATCTCCTTTTAATTTTCTGTCAACAATGAAAAGAACAATTAGAATATAACGGACTAGTGAGAGACATATTAGTCAAAAGTAAGTGTTAATTTATCTAAAGTTATTTACCTAGCATTTAAAGCAGCCTCGTAACGAAGGACGAAATTTGTTTGAGACTGCTTATTGTGAATACATGACAATATGTCACTTTTTGCACCTTTGTATACTGAAGCTTTTAAACTTTGCAAAAAATACTGTTGTATATTCAGTAACGCTCAAAACGCGATGTACTTATTATAGGTATAAAAGGGATAAGCAAGTTTAAATTTTACTTTGAAACAAATGAAGGAAGAATGTAAAATGGAATCCATTTTTTCTGAAAAACGGCTTTTAACTTTCATTTGGTAAAATTGGTGAGAACAGGTTCTACTGATTCTGGTTTTTCTTGATTAAAGATAATAAAATCCCAGACGCTACGAAGTAAAAATCATAATAAACGTTACCTCAATAAAAAAGAATATATTCTTAATAAATTGGATATTCAAGTCTTATTATTAATTTATACAACCGATTTTAAATCGAAAAAAGATTATGTGGTTACTCGTTTACACGCGTTGGAAGTTATACCTCTAGTTAAACAGGTAGATCTTAAAAGAAATAGCTTGGTCCGTGAAATTTCGGGAGAACGGCGCAAAAGATCGAAAGAAAAAGCATTCGGAAGGGAAGAGCAGTTCGTGTTTTTTTTTTCAAATCGGCCCCTTATTGCACAAGTAAACTCACCCTAGGGTTTCTTAATTGTAACATTTATACGAAAACTAGTAATGCATTTTAAATGAAGCATATAAACCTATTTTGCATTTTGTAATTTAAATATAAAAACTTTAATGAAAATACTACCAATGGCGCAGTAAACGCCATCTGTAGCACGTTTTACATTTTCGGATTACGTATGCTCCAACAAGGTCCATTTGTGTGGATATTTACTTGCTGAAAACGAATCCCGGCGTAGCCTATCTCAACGTGATAGGCACGTTACCATAATCGAATAAAATAATTCGAAGTGGTCTGTATTCTGTCGAAACTGCCAGACGCGGATCGCGATTTCGATCTTTTTGGATCTCATCAGCGCGTCGTAGGCTGCTCCGACAGAACACAGACCAACCTTTACCTGCTGTCTTAACAGCGCGTTTTAGAAAATACTACAAATGGCGCGGTAAGCGCCATCTGTAGCACGATGCTACATTTTAGGATTACGTATGCTCCAAGAAGGTCCACTTGTGTGGATATCTACTTGCTGAAAACGAATCCCGGCGTAGCCAACCTCAACGTGATAGGCACTTTAGCTTAATCGAATAAAATAATTCGCAGTTTCGACAGAATACAGACCACTTCGAATTATTTTAACTTTTTAATGCATTGAAGTTTTGGATTTAAAGTAGCTTGATAAAGAGAGGCGAATTTGTATACACCGTCCTGCTTTCACAAAACCATCACAACCAAACTAACTGTCCCCATTACAATATCTTCCATCGTTTCTTCCGCTACTGGAAAGTTTCTTGGAAGTCCTGTGTTTTCAGGTTTGCCTGAAGCGACAAGGGACGAATTTTCGGTGGATGATTCCCTGATAATCGAAAAAAGAAAAACATTCAGCATTGTCTTGTCATTTGGCCTTGACCTTTTCGTTCTTTACTCCCCGTCTTCTTTCTAATCCTTGCTTTAGGATATTTACTCCACATAAAATTCGTGAAACCCCAGCTCATCTCGGGTGATGAGCCTTTTGAGACAACCACCACCCTCTTAGTATCCTACCACCCTTCGTAACATGCCACCATACGTGCTTTTTGCCCTGGAGACAAAAGCTTTGAACGATTTTAACAAACAATTCCTTCATTTCTCATTTTGATGTTAAGATTTAAGCGTTACTCAATAAAAACTCTTCTGGAATCATCCTGATTTAAACGAGGGCTTTTTAGTACGAAAACGAGAACTCTTTCTACATTTTCCATAGATAAGTACATAGAACTGCATACTAATCAAGAAAATTGATTATTGGAGCAATAACTTAACCCGAAGCGATTGAGTCTAAAATAAACTAATAAAGGGTACAACAACTCGCATCTCGTTGTTACACTATACAGAGTGTAACAGAAATAAGTGCCGAGCTTGCCGGAGGTAATAGAGCACTATAAATTGTGAAAATTTAGTAAATGCTTGTTCGAGGTCTGTTCAAAAAGTAACGCGAATTTTAAATTTTCGCGAGTTACGTACATTCGATTTTCATTTTTTTTGTGGTGTTATGTTGGTACTCATGTCTCTCACTTATACCGACAAGTTCGGCCATGTTAAATGTTCAATTAATTTTTGACACCTGTTTTGTTTGCACGTGTTTTGGTTCGTCTTCGGTTTTTGCCTATTCCAAAAAATGAATCAAAGAATCTGTATCAAATTTTGAAAAACAAAATTAAGCGCACGGATGCATTCCGCATATTGACTGTGGCATATTGTGAAGCTACCTTGGATCGAAGCAACGTTTATCGGTGTTACAAGATGTTCTCAAGAGGGCCGAGAAGATGTAAAGGACGGAGAGCGTTCCGGACGCCTGAGCGCTTCAACAACAGACGAAAACATTGAGGAAGTGAAGAAAATAGTACTGGCCAATCGTCGAAATACCATTAGAGAACTTCCTGAGGATATAAACATTTCGATTGGCTCCTGTCATTCGATTTTTACCAATGATTTGGGCATGAAACGGGTAGCCGAGAAATTCGTACCAAAATTGCTCAATTTCTACCAAAAACAGCATCACATTTACATTGCTAAGGAGCCGTTGAATTCTGTCCGCGACGACACAAATTCGCTCCAGATGGTCACAACTGGTGACGAATCATGGGTTTATGATTGTGACGTGGAAACCAAAGCTCATTCATCCCAATGGAAGCTACCGTACGAGCTAAGGCCGAAAAAATCGGGCCAAGTTGGATCGAATGTAAAGGTTTTGCCTACAGTTTGCTTCGATTGCAGGGACGTGGTGCATCATGAGTTCTTGCCACAGGGTAGAACGGTCAATAAGGAATATTACTTGCAAGTTATGCGCAAGTTGCGCGAAGCAATCCGCCAGAAATGCCAGAATTTGCGTAAGAAAAAAAATTGGCTTTTGCATATGCTGTATAGCCTAACTGTTTAGATAGAATATTGCTTTTAGGCAAATTGGCTTAGCACTTTTTTCTGTTACACCCTGTATAGTTGTTACTCGTTGGTCTAGTCCAGTTGATAGTGACAATTAATTAAAGTTAAATAGATTTAAAAGGAATATTTTAGTATTGACAACATTAGATCGTAATAACTTCCTGAAACAACTTTTCTTCCATCCGTGGTAGCGGCAACAATATTAAATAATCATTTCGTCGTTAGAAACATGTATTTAATTATTTACTTATCTGACGTACACACTTATTTATATAACATGTGGAATAATCACTAATAAAAATCAATATGTAAGCGTTTACTTTTTTATCAAGTTTATCTATGTATGTATACTGTACACTAATCACAGTTTAATAAGTGCTGATAAAACAAACAATAAACCACTTTTATTTCAGTTGTGTGAAGTCATTGTTGTGAAACGGAGCAATACACTATACAGTTGGCATGGTAATTCATTTATTTTCTTTAACCTTGGTTACTTTTAGTCACTAATTTTTAATACTTCAGGCATTTGTAAAGCACAGCCTGGTACCCGATATTATTGACGTTGCACCTCCAGCAGTGCTTAAAGTCTCCTACCCTAACAATGTTGAAGTTGATGAGGGAAAACCTCTTACCCCCACTCAAGTAAAACATCAGCCTACTGTAAGCTGGCAGGCTGACAGCACCGCGTATTATTTACTCTGCATGGTTGATCCAGTGACTCCCACTCTGCAATTTCAACATTGGCTTGTTGGTAATATTCCGGGCAATGATCTCTCCAAAGGAGAAGTACTATTAGAATACATTGGGTCAGGACCACAGCAAGGATCCGGTTTTCATCGCTATACATTTCTTCTTTACAAACAACCTAGAAAACTGGATTTCACGGAAGGTAAAGCTCCGAAGACGTCATTTAAAGATGCAAGACTATTTTTAATTCGAGATTTTGCCAAAAAATACAATTTGGGCGAGCCCGTTGCCGGTAATTTTTATCTGGCCGAGTGGGACGAATACGTGCCAATTCTTCATAAACAACTTGGACTACAATAAATTGTGTTTATGATGTTCCTGGTGATAGCATAGTATCAACGTATTATATACAGTAGGTTCACTTCCAAGACATGCCCATATATCCGACTTCACCTTATCCATTAGAAGTAAAAGCTTTTGCTACAATTTGCATTCAAGGAAATGCTTCGGATTAGTAAAGTAAAAGGTACAGATTAGTTCCTACCGATTTCGACAAATTACTTGAAATTTACTATCAACGTGTATGTGTTTTCCTTGACAGCTATTTATTTTATTTGCTTAATACATTCCTGATTTACTTGTCCAGTGTTAAAAGCTAGCAAATTTAAAATGGTTCGCACAATAAGGCAGAAATACCTTCATTTTCTGCACAGGTGATACGGCTGCTCCACGTGTTTCGGGATACCCGCCAGGAAAGTAGTCCGTCAACCACATGACATTCTCCTCCTCAAATCTAAATAAAGTTTTAAAATATAATTCTCGTGGTGTACGTCTTGGTATGTAGCATTTTCATGTACGTAAATTCACCATATCAACCATAACAAGCACAACACTGGGACCACACAAGTAAAGATTACTTTTGTAAGTTCTTTTAGATTGCTTTAACACAAAAAAGTCCTACAAATACATAAATTTTTACGTTAAAAGCTGTGTGATACCTGGGCAGCTACTGAAAAGTTGAAAAGAGCGAAAAAAGTTGTTGTGAACTTTTTAGAAGCAAATACTTTAGATCTTGAGCAGATTCTTCTTTTTATAAATACAAAAAAAAAGCAAATCCTCCAAGTAAAACATTTTTCTTCGCTTTGAAGGAATTGCTTCAATTTTTGGAAGCAAAAGGTAAGGCTTCTTTTTATAAATACCACACATAAGTACGCCTGCATTTTAGGTTAGCTCAAAGGAATGACCGTACTGTATATATTACTTTATACTGTGGTGTTACTACTACTACATAATTTTTGTATTATTTGTAAAGTTAACTGTTTGTTTTGGAAATTGTAAATAACACGTCTCCTTAAGAATTAATAAACTAATTGTCAGGAACTGTTGTTACTTTTACCATACTAGATGTAAAAAAAGGTAAGAAAATTATTATCTGTGTAGATGTGTTGTTATATTATACAACTACTTTAAACATACATGACATCATAACAATACATTGCTAAATCAAGTGTGGCTTTTCGTATCAATACAGTTATACAATGAGACAGCGCTCGTTTTTAATGAAATCCCACCATTTTACATAGTTGCCATTTACAAAATGGAACATCTTAACGAAAATACAGCGTGCGTATATGTGTCATGTGATACAACTGACAACTCAGGTAAATCTATTAACATCAATAAATAGTCAATAAATAGTACTTATAGTTATGTAGGTAGATACTTAAGTTTATTTTGTGGTATTTGGAGATACAGGTGCAATTAATTGTGTTAAATGTGAAACTTAGTATACGTAATTGTTTTTCTACAACATTAGCTATCAGTGATGTATGTATACCTATACAAAGTGGTTTCTAACGTTTTCCAGGACTGGCAGAAAGTCATGGTGGTATAGGTAGCAGTACCTACCTGAAAAATTCCCAAGTGGGTAATTACTAGTGTTGCAACAGACTTCTGCTTCCGCTTTCGCAATTACGGAAGTTCCGCATATATTTTCACATCCGCGTTGCATCTGGTTCCGTATTTTTATAACAGAAGCATATCGGCACTTAACAAAATCTTATTTTTCATCTTTTTGGTAATCAATATATCGGAACAATAAAACAAGTCGTAAAAATTTACTACTTCTATCTGTTCGCTGAACTTGGACGTTTTTAAAACACAATTTAAATGGAATTGTTCGTTGCAGTGCTACACGTTGTACAGGCACCTGCGCCAGCATTCAGCGACCTTTCTCTCTGTAACATTGTGAACGTATCAACCGTTTATGTTTATGAAGTATTAGCGTCAATGTAGCGTTATAGCCGGCAAACTTTTGTTACTAATAACACTGTTCCTGTGCAAATAACTTTCTTATAGTTTAGAACCTAAATCTATTTACTATATAGTTATATTTTCCAGATTTTATTCTCTTATTGGTTTCTTACTTTAATCTAAAAACGTCCAGGACTTTCAGCTCCCCATTAGCCAGTTCTAATAATTTCATTTCAGAAATACTGATACAGTTTTGGCGTTTATTTATTTTGTATAGTGTTGGCTCAGTGGTCTAAATTTTAAATTAAAAGTGCAATTTTGAAGTAAAATTTGGTTTTTATACAGGTCAATTCGGGATTATATTGCTAATATTAAAGATACAAGTGCTAAATGCAAATTTTGTAACAAAATTATTACACTTCCGCTTCCGCATATGCTTCCGTTTCCACTTCCGCAAAAATTTACTATCTACTTCTGTTTCAACTTCTGTTTTTGTTATGACACTTCCGTTGCATCGCTAGTAATTACTATTGTGCAAACAAAAATTGTAGGGGGACAGTAGGCCTCTAACAAAAATGTATTATTATTTTCCTGGTCTTTTCCTGGTTAATTTTGAGCAAGTGAAGACGGGCTAATGCCAAAAAATCTTACACACATCTTTTGGGATATAATATGGAACCCAATTTTCTGTTCTTAAATATTATAAAGCTAATAGAACTTCTTGCCCTGAAATATGATCGCTTCTAATTCAACCTGTTGCGTTTTCTCAAAAGGGTATATGTCACTACTGTTAGGAAATCTGCGTAGTATTCCGCATGTATCAAAGATTACTAATTTCTGTAGATTTATGTAAATAAGTTTATGCAGTCTATTTCAATTTGTTAGAATTGTGACCTTGAAGAAATCTGCGCGAAGATAGAAAGAATACACACTAGGCGTGAGCAAGACAGAAATAGTTGTAACAAGGTTGAACGAGTAGAGCTCTTGATGGGTGGTCTTAGAACATCGGCTACAACTGTACAGTGCTAGACGAAATTGTTTAGCAATTTCTTAAAACAAAAATGTATATAAATTAACAATAGAAAACAGAGCAAAAGTTTTATAGGTGTGTAGAACGTTAAGTTAATTCACTTGTTATTATTTTTGGCTAAATATGCTTTTAAATAAAGCATATTCTTAAATTTTAACGAGGCAGTTCAAATAGTTTTGCAAATGGTACTGTACACTTTTGTCTAGTTCTCGCTCGATGATCGGTGGAGAAATGAGCTCCGCAGACAAATATGATTGAATTTGGAATTATGCTACGGCGCATCCTAATAAAGGGAAGGGG